ATTCAATGATAAAAATTACGATGAATACAAGGCAACTATTGGTATATAGAGTCGAACTCATCAAATGATAGATCCCTGCTAGAGTAATCACATGTTGTTCATCGAGTATGTGTGTGTATTTTTTAATTCAATAATGAAAAACACTACATTCTCTGGTAGTGATAAAAAAATTTATCACTATTCTCACTATACGTGGAATGGTAAAGTTTAGGGTGATAAAATTTGAGGATATTTATGCCGAATAGTGAGATTGGTGTGAGACATATTTAATAAATAAACCGTCACAATTTTTCAATGCATATTCATACTTTTAAATTGAAATATCGTATTATAAGAGATAACATAAAAACATGACGCTCTATATCACAAGTATGCATTTTTATTTGAAAAAAAACGTTGAGCCAACACTAAATGAGTCATGTTTCAGACATGCATTCGCTCTAAACATGGAGTCATTCTCTCAGTCAAAACAATTGGTTGTCTATCTACTCCATTCGATAGATGCACACAAGAAATTAGTCGACGAAAAGATTTCGATCAACAAACTCGTGGTACTAGCTAGTAATGGTAAATGAACCTTCATACTCATTAGCTATACAAAAAATACCAATAAATGTCACGGGATTTTAGGAACACCTCTCAAATTAAACTAATTCTATTACAATACTATATAAGGAAGTTTCATAAATCATTATAAGTGTTGGTTAAGAATTTGAGTCTTTTTTATTATAGCTTTCTTTATGGATTGTCTTTTGGCAAATGTCCCCAATTTTTATTGTTACATATAATAGTGTTGTAAAGAGGCACTTTATGATCATCATTCTCTCACCTTTTTTTTTTTAAATATATTTTATTATCATTTATTTTATTAAATATTCGTGATATAATTTCAGTGAGTCGATTCTGTATCATGCAATAGTAGAGAAAATAACCTCATAATAAACATATATTGTTTTCTACCATCTACAGTAAAATTTTTATATTGTATTTCAGTTTAATTGGACCCTACATAATTTTACCTGTAGCTCTTGCCCAATTCAAATGGAAAAAAGTGTTTTGATATACTTTGGTCAGTCTAACCAAATCACACCACCAAAATCAAAAAAACATAAATCGTATTTTGTTAAATGAATTTTTAATTTAGTAGAATTTTATTGAATTCACATATTTAGGGTGGCATTGAATATGCTTTTTAAGTGATTTGTTGATGAAATTGGATGGAGGAAGATAAAGTAGGATAGTGGAATAATTAAAATTTTTAATAGAAAATGATGTGATATAAAGTATAATATTGAATTGTGAGTTTAAAAAATAATTTGTGAGTATATGAATAGTATTAATTTTTTTTTTTTTGAAAAAAAAGTGTAGTTCAACTGAAATATTTTACAACCTATCTTTTTGTTCAATAATTAAAAAATATACTATTGGTTCATATCACTCTTTCGGTTGCTTTCTCTACTCATATTTTTCAATACAACTGTTCAATAAAATATTATCTTTACTACATATGCAGTGACGGATCTAGGAATTTCACTCAGGGGGATCCGATTTTAAATGTTATAACGAGCTTGTAGTTTAAGCATAAACACTCATTTCATGTAAAAATATATTTACTATAAATATAAATATTGATATGTGTACCATCAAGTTTTTATAAAACTTAGAATCCGTATCACTCTCAAACTTTTGAAAAAGTTATGAACAAAAAGAATATGAGATTTTATGTATTTATAATTTAAGTTCAACATCTATAATTTAAGGAAAAATAAGGTTTTTTTTTTAAAAAAAAAAAAATTGGTTTAGATTGAACTTTTGCAGCACATTGCATAACATTTTTGTTGATAAAAACTTATCAAATAAACATTGTCTTAAGAAGAAAATAATTTAATTTAAAATATGTGATTACACATAAAAAAAAAAAGTAAAAAACCAACATTCAAAAATGTAACAATCCAACTATATATTGAGTTTTATAAATTATAAATCGATTTACAATTAAGAGATCGAAAATCATTATAAATATTTTAAAAAAACTTATCTAGAAACGTAAAATATAAAAATTGTTAGTATATTTTTTAATAACTAAATAATATTAATAATTTAAATTAAATTAACATAAAAATAAGTTTTAATTATTAATATATTGTAAATATTTTTTTACATTTTATACATATTTTATAGTATTTTCTTTTTTTATATACATATATATATATATATATTGATTTAAAAAAAATGAGGGGGCCCATGGACTCCCCTGGGCCCAATACACCTCCGTCATTGTACACATGTATTTATATAATTACTATTAATTCAATCATGTATTATAGTTAGTGGTTATTTTTTTTACCATATTATAATTACTTATTTACTATATTTTTATTAATATTATTTATCTTCTAAGGGGCCGTTTACTTTGGGGGACAAGATAGAATAAGGAAATTAGTTCCGGCTATCTTACATTTACTTACGGGGATTGGGATGAGATTTTAATGAGCTGGCGCCAATGTGGCATGCGTTCATCCGGTTTCTTCTGATAAAAAAATCCCACCTTCTCCCTGTGATTAAATAATCCCGTTCATGTGTTGCCCATCTTACCCTTTAGAAAAGCATTTTTTTTTATCTTGCGCGTATGCGAGGCAAAATCTATGAAACAGAAAAATAATAATCGTAACATATTTACCTTCTCTAAGCACCGAAAAGAAGCAGCGCAAGTCTATCTTCAACCTCATATCAATTATACTTTTTTTTTGCAAATGAAAGAAGGGCTCGACGGAATTTTGGAAAGAGGGGAATCGGACCCCGTTGTCGATGCCTGCTTCGGGTTGATTAGGGTTCGGTGGACGGGCAGATGAATTTTGTGAAAGAGACGTAGATGAATTTTGGGAAATGAGGAGTGAAGGAGTTCGTTGAAATGGAGGGTGAATTGGACATTTAACCTTTATCTTATAAATTTGTCCATTTCTGACTTTTTAATCCCTTAATGTAAACACGGGATTAAATAATGATGTGCAAAGTTATCCTAATTATTTTGTCTTATCCAATCACACAAAGTAACTGAGGCCTAATAAAAAGTTTTACATCCCATGGCAACTATTGTCAAAAAGCCCAATAAGTCGCCAAGTATGAAACGCGTCCCCTGCGGGACCCACGTGGGCGCAAGGCGCATAATTGCATCTGACCAATTTTGCAAAATCCAATTAATTGGAAATTGAAATTTTGCTTTTCCATTATAGAAAGTTACCCGCTTATCTGCAAAGTTTATTTTTATTTATTTATACATTTAAAAGTTTTTATTTTGAATTATGATTACATTAACTTTTTACGGCGTATGAATAATTGATTTATATTTTATTTTATCCATAATTTTCAAACAATACTAGTAATATTTTTGATGTATAACTCATTTATGTATGATTTGACTAAATGTCATACTTTTGTGAATAAATATATAAATAAATAAATAAATATAAAGTCCAACATAAGAATGTAAAATATTACTATAGTAGTATATATATATTTTATAGAATTTGTATTGAAAGGTGAGCTGTGCCAATCAACGCCAGCACATGCGCAGAGTAAAGAGTCAGCAAGGATAGGCCCCTTCAAAACCTTCTACTACATCTTTATCAATTGGTAGACCTACTAAAGTTGGGCCACTGATTAAAAAATATAAATAAATAAATAAAAATATATAGTTTATGTTATAAAACACCATATTCTATAAATTCAATGTAAATATATAACATTTAAATAACACAATATATATATATATATTTATTCAAAGTACAATGGTTTAATGTTTGACGTGTAGTTTCAAAATGTGCTAAATTTAAATGATATCGTAATTTTATTTTGTATAATTCAATTGTATGTCAAAATGTAAGTGGCAAGCTCCCATTATTATCTTATTTTTACATCATTACATTTTTTAGGATGCCATTTTGTCAAGTTCGATTATGTCAAGTAATATGATTATATAGACGTGAATATTTTTTTTTTCTATTGATTTGTTTTCATGAATTTTAAGAATCTCTTTTACATCTCCACCCAGTTTACCCCTTATTTTGGAAATGATTAAAAAAAAAAAAATTCATTTAAGTATTTTTTTTTGTCATAAACATATAACAATTCTCTATTCCCATAAATAATTTTATTCAAATCATTTAAGATATACATATATACATGGAGCTGTTCAGAACAACACGGGCCCAGAATAGTGCTGGAGGGTTGCTTCGTGACAAGTCGGGTAGATGGATTGAAGGATACCTCATGAATAGTAGATATACCACCATCACGGGCGCCGAGCTTTGGAGTCTTTTTCAAGGATTACAATTGGCTTGGGACTTGGGCTTCCGCCAAGTCATCGCCGAGGTTGATAGCCTATGCGTGACGAGAATGATTCTTGGGCCCGACAACAGGTTTGGAGCTAATGATGCGTTGGTGCAGGCCATTCACAACTTGGTTCAAAAGGATTGGCGAGTGAGGATCCAACACGTGCATCGAGAAACTAATTTCGCGGCCGACTATATGGCGAGCTTGGCGTTATCCTCTACATAGGGGTGCATCGTATGGATTCACCTCCTATAGGTTTGGGAGCATTGCTTGATCATGATCTTATCAGGATGTCTCATCCCTGCCGAGTTCTAGCCTCATATTCTTTCTAGGCCTCTGACCTCCTTTTTTATACCAAAAAAAAAATAGAAAGTGCACCAAATGATTCATTTTTCTTAACAAAGTTATAGGGGAATAATTATTCACTTTTTAATCATCAATCAACAATTTATTAATGATATTGATAAATTTCTCTATAGTATCTTTTAATTTATAATTTTGTATATTTCATTTTATCAAAATATTTATATATATATTTCTTCTTAAAATACACATATACAGACAGAAGTAAGAAAGAGACAACTTTTGAGTAGTTCATTGAAATAAATTGGACATTTATCCATTTCCATACACAAGTTGTGAACTCACACAACTCAATTTGCTCCCTCTCTCTCTCTCTCTCTCTCTCTCAACCTCCTTTTCTCTCTCTAGAAGCTACCACATCTCTCAAAGTCATTTGTGGCAGCAAAACAAGATCTATCAACTGATATCAAGATTTGCTTATAGCCATGGCTATTGAGAAGGTATGTGAAAATCTATCAAGTTTTTTCTTCATTTATACTTGAATATAACTTTAATTCACTTGGGCCCTTTTAATTCTTCAATTAATTTGTTGAGGACCATGGTATATATGCTTTGTGTGCTTTCTTGATGAAATATTGTTATATAAATATGTAATAATCTATTTTTTCTTTCTTATGAATTTCTTGTTAATTCTAGTCAATAGTTATTGTGTATTAATTATTATCCCCATGAATTAGGTGACTGAAATGGTGCTCAAGGTTGATCTCCAATGTCCCAGCTGCTACAAAAAGACCAAGAAAACACTCTGCAAATTTCCTCGTGAGTCATCTCATATATATTTTATATCTTTTTTATTTGTGGGGCTTTTTTTTTTTCTATATTAATTCCCTTGAAATATTTATGAACAAAGAAGTACCTTAATTTTCTCATAAAGTGGCATTGCTTTCATCTTGAACAAAGAAGTACCTTAATTTATGAACAACGAAGTACCTTAGTTTTAACTCTTTTTTGCACAATAAGTGACATTGCTTTCATCTTGATTGTTTGCTAGGAAAATTTCTTTGCCTTTTTTTTTTTCAGTTCCTTTTGTAATCGTTTAGTTTGAATATTGTTGCTTGATTGATTTTAAACAATGGGAACTAAAAGTTTGTTATTGTTTTTGTGCTTAAAAAAAAATCGGGGAAAAAATAGAAGTTAGAGACCAAAAATACGATGAGAAGGCGAACACGGTCACGATCACGGTCGTGTGCTGCAGCCCGGAAAAAATCCGCGACAAATTGTGTTGCAAAGGCGGAAAGGCCATCAAGAGCATCACCATAGTCGAATCCGGCAAGCCCAAAGCTTCCGACAAGCCCAAAGAGCCCGAAAAGCCCAAGGACTCTGCCGACAAGCCCAAAGAAAAAGATAAGCCCAAGGGTGGGCCCGAGAAGCCCAAGGTAGTCATTGTTGAGCCCAAAGATATGGGGAAGCCCAAGCCCAAGGAACCCGAAAAGCCCAAAGACATGGATAAGCCCAAACCCAACGGCAAACCCGAAAAGCCCAAGCCCGATGGACCGCCTCCTGCAGACAAGCCCAAGCCCAAGCCCGATGGACCGCCTCCCGCCAAAAAGCCTGTGGATGAGCCCAAGGGAGCTCCAATGCCGATGCCTGGGCTCGGGCCTGGGCCTGGGCCCGCTAAAGGGCCCGGGCCCATGATGGTCCCTTTTCCAGTGGAGCAGATGAAGGGCCCGGCACCGGCTCCGGCTCCGGCTCCGGTGCAGGGAGTCCCGTCGGTTTTCCCATATGTTGGGCCGAGCTATGATGGATATAATGCGGGCCCATACTATCATGGGTATGGATTTCCAGCGCCGGCCCAGCCCGTTTACCATGAAGGGTATTATGATCATGGAAATGGGCCGGGTTATGGGTATGGATATGGATATGGGCCGGGTCGGGTTGACAATGTGAACAGATACGGTGATAGTTACTTCACTGATGAAAATCCTCAGGTTTGCTCTATAATGTGATATGATAATATGGCCATATGGGGGTTGTGTGACTATATGGGTATATGATTATGGTTTATATTTTTTTTTTTTNTTTAATTAAGGGGATTATGAAGAATTAAGGTGATAAAAAAAATAAGAGAAAATAAGTAGTATAGTGTTGGTGGGCAAGTGTTTGGTGGCTTCATGTTGGCCCAAACTCAAAAGTTATATAATAATTTCATGATTTGGTTTTGTTTATTCCTTGTTATTATTATTAATAAAAGTTGTTTATTAATCATTGATGGCTTTTTTGTATGTATGCTTGTGAATTGTGATGAGATGCTTTTTCTTCTCCTCTTTCATAATAATACATGAAAGAAGTGAGTTATGCTTTTTAGTTTTTATTGAAAAATTATGTATCACTGCATAAAAGTTTGAAACGCTGCAGGATGAAAAGGAATAATTTGAAAAACGAAAAGTGAATTAAAATGATGAAATGTAATAAAATGATAAAAAAAATAAAAATTTAGAAACAATTCATGAATATTGAGTTCTTGGACTGTTTTTGCCTTAGCTGTGTGGACTCATTTTACTGGATCTTGTTGGGGAAAATATGATGCAAATTGCATAATCAAATCAGATGTGTTTAAATTTGTCTTTTCTCCATTTGTTTTAACACAAATCCTTACATAAGGCGGGCTGGCTCAGCACACTTTAAAAAAAAAAAAAACATATTTATGATATGAAATGTCATATTTTTGCTTACATTGTTTTTTCGAGTATCAAATTTAAATTTAAAAGTATGCATATATATTAAGAAAATACGGTTCCTTTTAGTTAGGCCTACTAGCAACTTTATTCTTCTTCCCAAAAGCATGTTCATAAAGAGACGCAAAACTCTGTAAAACTACTCTATTCATATGAACTTAAACAGAAGCTCACAAACTACATAAACTTGAACTGAACAACTCAATATAGAGAAATTTACTTCCAGTATCTGACCAAGAGAAAACTCCTCTTGCCCATAACAATAATAATAATGATAATAAAAATGTGAGACTTACTCATCTCAAAAATAACAAATGGGATTATTAATATAAACTCTCGTGAAATGCAGCATTTATAGGCCAACAGTACCCGTAAAAACGCCATATCACAATTTCACGCTTCGACTTTCACTTCATCCTTCTTCTTCACGAGCTCTTCTAATGCAGCCCACAACTGTGAATCGTTATAATCCTTTATAACGAGCGAAGCCCCAGCATCAAACAGCGCTTGCTCGGGATTTCTTGTGGCTATACCTACCACAGGCATCCCAGCTGCCACCCCAGCTTTTATACCCGAAACAGAATCCTACATTTTTTTTTTTTTCAAAGACGAAAAAACGAGATTAAGTAAATAATTTCATATTCAAGTCTGAGTTCATTTTATAAGCTATAAGTGAAAAGGTGGAAAAGGATAAAGATTAACAAACTAACTTCGAAGACAAAAGCATGCTTAGAAGAAGCTCCGAGTTTCTTGAGAGCCTCCAAATACGGGTCAGGGAAAGGTTTTGCTCTTTCGCACTCACTTCCAATAACGAGCAGTTGGAAGAATTTTTCGAGGCCCGAGCTAGTAATCATCAGCTCAGCATTGTCTCGTGGAGCATTTGTAACGGCAGCTCGTTTCAAGCCGTTTTCTTCTACCCATTTGCTCAGCTTGTCGAGCCCTGCAACGGGTTTTAGCTGCTCTGCTGCCAATCTGCAATTCTCCAAATGAAAAAAAAAAACATTAGTCGACTACGAATTGTAAAAACGAAAAAAGAAATAAAAAAATTGCAGCTTTTTTAACCTTCGAAACAATGCTTCTTTGTCGTCTAAAAATTTTTCGGCTTTCTTTAGTTCCCAGTTGGGAAAGAGAATGTGACAGAGTTCTTCATTATGCATGCCGCTGAGATTCTTCGAGTAGAATTCTTCGGTTATGGGTTCTCCTCCGTTGTATCCTATCTGTTTACAATTTAAGAAAAAAACGAAAAAATGAAAATCCATTTATCT